GGCCCCATCCGTTGTTAACAAGCACTGTAACCCTCCTCTTTCCCCATTACCTCTCTGACTGCTGTCTCTCTGCCCACAGACACTTAAAGCCGAGCTAGCAAAGTGGTAGAGCCATTGCCGCCATGTTTTTGTGGAATAGAATCGTATTGCTTTCCTGATATTCCTGCTGGGCCTAATAAGTGGTCCAAACTCTAAGTGGTCCTGTTATGTGTCGGTGATCTAACATTTCCCATGATGATCATTGAAAAAAGTTATTAAACCCTCTCTCACCTTTTTCGCCATTTTGTTCCTGCTCTGCATCCAAGCGTTTCAACTCATCTCGATGCTTCGTCTTATTCCAAGCTTTACTCTGCCTTTGGATAGCTGAGTTTGCTGGTCCAACAGGTTTACAACTTTCCCATTGTCATGGCTATGCATCATAACAGATACCAAAAAAGTTTCAGAGCTTCCAGCAAAAATCTTTCCAGTAGTAGGCTACATCTGCCAAATCCACCCATAATAACTTTTTCAGAAGCAGAAAAAAGCTCGAAGGAAAATCCCAAAAATATTAAAAGAAAGACATTGTACCCAGGGCTTCTGCAAAAGGCTGCATGCTTCCAGGGGGGCATATTTCAGGAATAAAATGTGAAGTACAGAAATGCCTACCCATGGATATATCATTAAAGGGATGGTTGTACCATGAGTCTCAGTTCAATTCCAATATCAACCCACTGGCTTACTCTCATTCTGTCTAAAATGATGGAAGGCTGCAGCTTTCACTCCCTTATCGGTTTATATGTGCAGAGAACAGACAAGACATTTAGCAACCCATTGCAGAGGTTAACGGAACACTTTGACTGATGTGGTATCATTATCTTTGTAGAACTGTCACATAACATAGGCATTAAAAAACAAGAGCTTTTCTCAGTAAGTATTACATAAATCTGATGCTAACTTCAGAAATGTTGTTAAACTCTTTTGTTTTAATTATTTTTTACAGATATAAGTATATTTTGTGTTCTTTCATACATGTTAGAATTTTCCTGTTAGCAGGAGGAAATAGGGAAATTATCCACAACATTATTTAGTTGTCATATGGGTATCATGGTTTCCTCAGGTAAAAAAAAATTCAAATAGAAGACTACAGACATTTAGCTAAATTTACAAAGTTTTTATATTCACTAAATAGTATGGTCTGCTATCAGCCTTGCAACCGATCAATAGTCCTTTTTTTGTCCAATATCAATTACACACATGGAGCAGATTACATGTTAAACATGTTTACTGACAGTTTGCGTGTTCTCTAAAGAAAATCCATGTAATTTTTCTTCCCTCACATGCACTCAGCCCTTAATGCCTCTAATTAGTCTTGACAGCCAGCTCCCCCATGAATCCCCCTGGACGCATACAGTACATGCACACATGACAATCATTATTGATCAAGTTCAGCAGCGGGGGGCTATCCCGCAGAGGACATATTGTAGTAACATGTAGGAGCCACACAGACAGTAAAACCTAACAAGCCTCACTTCACTGCAGTCAACGTTCGTGAACAGGTTTTAGGGACTACATTTCTTCTGACGGTTGCTGTCCTGCATCATGGAATACGTTTCAAGCATCTGCAGTAAACCTCACAAAATCAGGTCTTTTCTGTTTTTGGGCAGGGGGTTTTAACTTATTTCAAACTGCACCCCCCTGACATACTAGTGCTGTTGTACTGCAGGAAATTTCCTCTTGAGACCAACAGCTGACCTGATGCCAACAACTCAATGTTGAAACCGAGGCATTAAGTAAGTGTTTTCTGTCTGCAGTGCTCATCAGCCAAAGCCCCCTCCTTCACTCTTGGCTGGATTTTCTGAGAGCATGATGTTCTTTGTGTTACCCGTGTCTATGTACAGCCTCTTCTAAAGCAGCAGAAAAACTATTTAGGTAAACAAATTTAGCCCCTGCTGCGTGTCACATTCTGTTTTGCTATAGTTTCCCAGTGGAGAAAAAAAGACCACCATACCAGTGTCCGCATACAGCATTCATACCAAGGGCTTATTTGAATTAACTAAATCATTCAGTGAGGCTTTCACTTGTTTTCAGTGCAGATTGCATGATGGAGCTGTCTTTTACAAAGTGATAAAATGCAGTGAAGGTTTGGACATAAGTCAAATGACTGAACTGCAGAGATCATGCAGTGTTGGTCCATGGTGTGGTCATGCTACCACAACCACTTGTGTTTACAAGTGTACTCCTCACTCAGCCATATTCACACATATGTTCTGATTAGATGTGAAATCACAAGGCAAGGCAAATTAGCTTTTTTTCAGCCAAACAATCCTTCATGTTAATAGTGTTGTGACATATCAAAATGGGTGAAAATAGTTCAGTGAGGAAAAAAATAAATAAAATTCATCGTCAGTTGGTTATTTATGGATTGGCATTTAAATCAGACAGGCAGCCAACAAGTTTTTGCCAAATACTGCTTGTGTGAAGCCCACATCAATAATCTTTTAGATGTCTCTACAGAGAACGGCTTGTTTTTTCCTCGTTTCTCTGTATCTCTCCACAGACCTCTAATCCTGCTCCACAGTAACTCAGTGATGCTTTATGGAGGGTAGGACATGAACTGAAGGGGGAAGCTGATATAATAATTAGGAACTCTCCATTAACTTTGGTGTTAAAATTCACAGTTAGTTTAATCCTCCAGTAAAGTATTTTGTCTTTCTCCATCTATTGCCATATAAAAGCACAAATGAGGAAATTGAGTCAGATTCTGCGTCATCTGATTTAGCATTCAGAGAATTTTTTTTTTATGTTCAAGCCCAAATTATTACTAAGACTGTTAACGTTTAAAATATAGTCATATGTAAGTAATACTGTATATTACTAAAGAGAAACAGATATTCCTTTCACTATGATAACTGTGAAAGAAAAATACAGTTATCGACACTAAGACTAACCCTGTGACACAGCCTGGAAGCAATGATTTACTACAAGCACTTTTGTTAAGGCATTTTTGACTACCATTGGTTGCATCCCACAACTGATTAGGTTGCATTCCCAGACAAACGTGGTGGTTCATCTGACAACAATTAATTTTGCATGCACAACCTAGCACATCTGAGCTATTTTTAGTCTAAAGTTGCTCAGAGCAAATCCAGGGACAAGTTTGGCTTCAGCCTGGTGAGGAAGCCACAGCATAAAACAAATATCCGCTGATGCAGTAAATGCATTAAAATAGTTTTGAAACTTTTCCATTTGTTGGAGGAAAGATTTCTCTTAAAATACATGTGATACCAGCTTAACCATCTGTACGTTTAGTTGTGTCTTTGTGACATGTGTCATGAAGCAAAACAACACCAAAATAATGTAGATTTTATTAAGTGCAAAGCTTTATTGACATTTTTAAAGAGGAAAAGGGAGACAAGAATTCAATGAAAGGCTTTGATAGAACACAAGTAACATCCTGCATTTTCATTTTTATTTCAAATTGCCTTTAAAACTCATCGAGAGCAAAATGGAAAGGCTAATTTCAAAGTAGGCTACTGTTACTCCCAATTGCTGTTAAACTCAGCCCCACCAATAATAAAAACAAAGGTCTGCTGTGTAATATTCTTTTGATAGAAAATATGTTATCAAAACAATTAAGTCTGAGTGAGGTTTCACAGAAAAAAAATATTAATTGAAATTATGTAAGCATTTTTTTCGCGCAGCAGGGCCTATTGAAAAAAAGTACAAGACTAAACTGCATGATTCAATAAAAAAACAAAAACATTAAACAGCAAAAATAGGCATTGTATATTAATTGCGTCATAACGATGTTACTATTGTCAGAAAGGGAGGAGAATGTGCAGTATGCCATGTCATAAAAGATAAGAACAGATAATTTAACGACCTCCAGCATGACTTAAAAAACAACTTGTTACGTGTTTACAGTGTACGACGGGGAGGGGTTTTTAACCCGCCTTCCTGCTTTGGTTTGGAACTTATTCTCTCTCCCAGCCTCTGTGTGTCTCCATCATGTCCACGCACTCTCAAAACTACAGGCAGGTAGTAGAAAAAGAAAAAAAAGCGAAGCAGCTGACAAAAACAAGGAAGTAAACGCTGTCTAACTGGAATGAGGAGCCTTTCGTCTCCTGTTATGCGAAAGTAAACTGGTCGGCAGATCAACAACAGACCACGACGCAACGGCTGTGCTACGGAAGTTAGCCGCCAAGCTAATTATTCCACAGACTGTCCATTACCTCTGCACTGCATATTAAAAGAGACAAAAAAGAGGGGAGAAATAAAGGAAAGGAGAAGAAACGTCAGAGTGAGTACGCACTACGTTCTTGTAAACATACCTATCCCGAAAAATACCTGGAGTTGCATTACATGAACTGCCCTATTTGAAGCAGAAAGGGGGGAGTATTTACAGCTGTCTCTACTTCCCGTTTTAATTAGCTGTTTGAGTTCTCAATGAAAAAGAGCAAAGACGGAAACATGCTACAAGGAGAAAACACATACAGGAAGAGAAAGGTCCACAACACATAGTCGTTTTGTTCCTGCAGAGTGAGACAATCATAGTGTACAAACAGACTAAATGAAGAAAAAGACGTGAAAAGGTCAGAGCCTCAGGAGTGTGTGTGTGTGTGTGTTTTTTTTCTTCCTTGTATTTCTTTTTCGACATGTGAGAGTACAAGGGCACACGACATTTATCCGAGTGTTTACAGAGGAGTTCAGTAGCTCTGGATGTGGACTTCCTGTTTGTAGCAGGTGGTGATGCCTTTCTGTGCTGTTTGCGGTGACATGGTTGTTGTTCGCTGGGACTCTGGCCTGCATGTTATTTGTTTAATATATCCATTATCCATAATGCTTATTTGAAGCCAGTTCCATCTATATTTGTATATATAAATTTAATGTTGTGGGAATATGATAAAAGAAGGAATAATCTTGAGCAATGTGGACTTTCCCATATGAAAATGTAAGAAGTGTGCTCAGACGTTCAGTTATTTATACACTGTCTGTATCCACACTGTTTCATTTTTTCAGCCATGGATCACAAAGAGGAACCCCTGGAAGGAGCCATGGGTGTGAAACAGGAAGAGCTGCCCCAGATGGACGGTTCATGTGATGCGTGCGAGCCCGACGAGGCCCAGCCGGCGACACAAGTGTGCCACATCTGCAGCTTTGCCTTCTGTCCCGTCCATGCCGACGTGCACTCCAGCAGGACGAGTCACACACTAATGCCTTATAACTTCAGAGAAGCGTGTGCCAATGAAGGAGCCTCCAGTGTCGGTGGCAGAGATGAGGAGGAGCCTGGACAAAGGAGGGCAGTGGAAATGGGTGATAATCAGGGGATGGCAGCACCGGCTAGTGGCTGTGATAGTGGGCCCATGGAGCAAAGAGATGGAGCCCAGAATGGTTCACCTCAGGAAGCTGAAGGGGCTGAAGGTGCAGAAGCAGGACCCGAGGCCATGGCTGCGGGAGAGGCTGGGAAAAGAGATACTGTGACAGTAGAAAGGCTGCGTTGCAAGGTGCATGGACAGGAAGGTTCTCTCTATTGTAAACCTGATGAGAAGATAATCTGTGTGGTTTGCGCTGTGCAAGGTGAGCACAAGGAGCATGAGATCATTACTCTGCACGAGGCCTATGTGTGGCAGAAGGTGAGTTGCGCAAATACAACATGACAGTTTAATGTGTGGTAGACCGGCAGTGTGTGATTTATTGTATGCTCTGTGTTGTACCTAATCACAAGGGTTCGCTTTACAACATCTGTAGCTGTGCAGCATAACACATTCACAACATCACCTGTGCAGTTTGCATTTCTAATAAGTCATCAAGTAATGTCCCCATAGCTGGAGGCCATTTTGCCAGTATCTGAAGTCATTAGGATTGTGCAAGTGTTCTGTATAATATTTCAAACACAGCAAGAATTGATGATCTTATTCCTGACTTCATTCATAAATTGATCCAATTATACAACCATAGAAATAGATCAATTGAAACTCTGAAACTGAAATTAAACATGATGAATGTCCATTTGGTTTTATGCCAGTTAGGGCTGACTTTTTTAAAATCCGATTAGTATATTTCATAGATGTGTGTGTGTAATAAATAAAATAACAGTTTACATTAAGGGCCTCTTTGGTTCTAAGTCTGAGTAGAGATAAGAAAATGATTACACATTTTAAAAAAGCATCATTATATACAAAAAAAATCATACATAATTAGTTTCTTGAAGAGAAGGACCATTTCAGCTTGACAATATCAGTCCATCTTCTACACAATTGACAGTGTTCCTCCACAGTCACAATGTAACTTTGGACATTATAGAATGGATTAAAAAATATCGTAGAGGTGAACCCAAACTGTTGAGCTGTTGAAACTACTCAGAATTACGAGTGTGGTCAAAATAAAAGGTGACTAAGGAGGAAGCACGGCGAGTCACAAATGAAAAAAGAAATACAAAAGAATTATCTATGATTCTTTGCAAAAACATAATCTTTTTAATTTCTTTTGGGAACAAGTTTGAGTCATATATCTTCAGCACACTGAACACGTCCAGAGTGTGTTGTTGTGCTGCAGAACACGGGATTAGCTTTGGATAATCGTTTCAAAAAGCCAATTCCTTTGGTTGAAAACACTGTAACAAACTAAAGTTGGCAATTTAACTCTTGCCACAAAAACAGACTTTTGTTGTCTGCCCTGTGGCTCCACATCTGGAAAGCAAAGTGGGGCAGCGCTCTTCATTGGCTCGCTCTTACATCACGAGCCACATATGGATTAACAAGAGGAAAAGAAGGCTGTACAAGCCCCCATTTTTTACTCTGAACCTGTTTTTGTTTTAAGCTTGCTCCTTTTTTTCTTCGTCTATACAAAGATGATAAATACTAAATAATTAATACAGTGTGCCGCATCTCCACTTTAGGTTAGATGTAAAGTCTGTTTGGTTGTTGTTTGATAAACTGCACTCTTATACTTCATGTTTTTGGTTTTGTTAGATAATTGTTTTTCTCTGGAAAAATCCCTGTGAGCATGCTGTTCGTTTGTCATTTTTTGTGTCTTTACTGGCTGTTTGTGCTCTCCACCCGCAGGGCCGGCAGACTTATGACCTGCTGGGCTTCACACAGGAGATAGTTGAAAGGATCAAGACCAAATGGACAAATCCTGAGGTAAGTGCCATTTATATAGAAATCTGAGCTGAATGCTTACATGAGTTGTGCAGTAAAGACGACTTTTATTAAATAAACTATATAGATAATACTTTGGAAATGTATAAACTCTAAATTTATGCTTCACGCTCTTCTGACTTGGTAAGGAGTCTTAACAAATCAGAAAAAAATAGTCTCTAAATCAGTGAAAGGTGGATTTGACATTCTTGCTGGAAATATTTGCCATGAGCAGTTCAATGCTTTTCATTATTCGATGGTGGCTTTGCTTAATTTATTTTATTTCTAGTTGTTTTACCCCAAAAAAACACCTTTTAATGGAATTCCCATGTGTCAAATTCACTCAGACTTTCAGACATAGCTGAACCAGACAAGCATTGTTCATTGTAATGCACTCATAAGTTATTATAGTTTATCATAATGCTGATATGTTTCTGATATGGACTCTGGGGGGCCTTAATGCCGATCTTTTATGGATCAACCTCATGGACAGCATCTGGACAACTCCTGCTCTTGTGAGATGTTCCCACTCAACAGAGTCACAACCCTCCAAAGGTTATTTATAGAATGAAAACAGATGAACCTGTGCTCAACACAATAACAACAGCCTTAAAAAATGGTTCAAGAAGAGCTTGAGAAACACAACAAGAAGCCAAAGGTGTTGACTTTGTCTGTAAATTCTCCAGTTGAGCATCTGTGCGATGTGCTGGACAAACAAATATGATCCATGGAAGATTTCTTTAACACCTTACACGACTTAAAGGATCTGTCTCCGACACCCCAGTGCCACATTACACAGCACACCTTCAGAGGTCCTTTGGAGACCCTCAAACTACCGTCCACAGTGAAGATTCAGTCATAATATTAGCAAAGTTCTTATTTTTCTAGGAGTGCTTGAAGTGCATCACGGTGTTCAGATTCTCATTTTTTTCTATTCACTTGCCCAAGTGAATAAAATAAATACTAATAATTTAAGCCTCCATACTTCATGCAGCTGAAAAATGACCTCTCTTGAATACTGATGTGTAGTTGTAACCCTGGAAATGGCGCCTTCCATAAAAGCACATTTCAGGGTAGTTATCGACTGTAACAATGATTCCCTTTCTTCCACTCGAATTCTTTCCATCAGCATGTGGTGCTTATAACCTTTGTTGATGACATCCCTACAGGTTGCCATCTAAAAAACAAAGCGCAGAATGCGTCTCACATGCAGCAATGTCTACCCAAACCAAAGCTATTCAGACTGAATTTTCATGACAAGTCAACCTTGAAAACAGTTTCTGTACTTCCATTATGGGTGCCATAGTGGGGGCACGTCTTGCCACTGAAAATGAAACCTGACCACGTAGAGTTATGTGTTGTGCAGTGAATGGTGGAACACTCCGAGTCAGGAACGTGGGAATTTACCATCGAAAAGTGCATAGCACCTGCTCTCTGAACCGCCCCACAGCCCTTGTTCTGCTCTGTGCTGTGCCTGTATTCCCCTGTCAGAACCCATCAGGGACCGGGTTGGACACATGAGCATAGCCAAATACCTGCAGAGACATGACCCAGGCATAGTGGCATTATGTAAAAGGTTCCTTTTAGTGGCCTGTGAGAGCTAACACGTCTTCTGGCAGCTGGCACCCCACCTAAGTTCATATCTATTATCATCCAGAAATAGCAGAGCTGCCCAGAGGACTTTTTGGACATGTAGTCGTATGCTCTCCCACTGCGGGGGTGCAGTGTGTTTGGCGAAAACACTTACATACTCACTCAAAGAGCACTGTGTAAGAGAACATTATGTGGATTTGTCTGCATGTCCTCTCTGCGCTCTCAAATGTCAGCGTTTCTTATTATGCATGACAAGCAACCATCTGAGTGACTACCTCTGGTGAGGAAAGTTATCTGTGAGTGTGTGTGTGTGTGTGTGTGTGTGTGTGTGTGTGTGTGTGTGTGCAAGAGAAAGGGAGAGAGAGAATGAGGAGCTGGAGAAGGTTAAATTGCATGGTACTGACATCCTGAAGGACTGATGGGAGGAAGAAGTCTGAGCAGCTTTCTGTGAGTACGTGTGGGCAAATGAAAGTGAGGCAGTTCATGAAAATAATTATTAAATCTCGGTGGCAGCCACAACACAGATCAAAACAGCCTGGACAGGGCAATTCTAACAACAGTCTGTAGGCATTTTAAGACTTTTGGAAAAGGAATACCATACTCTCCAAGTCTTGCTTTATTTAGAATGGTGGAAGCTTTCCAGTTTATGAAGCTTATGTTGGTTTCGAATAACTTAAGCATAGTTATCTCCAGATTCTCATAAATTTCAAACAAACGTGTTTGAGATTTCTGAACCTCCATCTGTCTTTGCGTCTGAGATATTCTGCCTCCTGGAGGTGCTCTTTTTATACCCTGCGATGTGACTGAACTGTTGCCAGTTAACCTTGTTTATTACTGCTCTGCCTGCTTTTTATGATTTGCAACTCACTGCGTTTTTATTTACAATTTGCCCAGGGTCCAAACTTCTTGTTTGGTCTGTCAGGACCGTGAAAGTTCAACGTGAAATGACACAGAGCAAATCAGCGTCAATGTCTGTCACTCATCCCGTCGGCAAGTGTGACCTTTTGTCAGGAGGACATTAGAAGTGGCTTTGGCAGGCCGTAACCATATTTGCCTCGCCCCGTGTTTTTTTTCCTTCTTGTTTCTGCTGCATGAGGTAATTTGTAGGACAGACACTGAGTAAGAGCTGCTCCCAGCGACAACATAGAACAGGGTGATACTTGAAGGCAGCACAGCACAGCCTGTCAAATGTGCACGTGTGTTCATTGGCTATATCCATTTTATCTGTCTCATAAGATCTACAAGAGCAGCAGACACATTAAAGCTGTCGAGGAGAGCCTGGGATGCGGAACAGACAGCGGAGGCATAAAAAGACTTAGCTGCTACTGTTAAATTTATTCATCCCCCTTTTTCTGGTCCTTCTTTGCTTTATCCCTTTTCTCCTCTTCCTCTCTCTACCCTCACCCCGTTGCACTTTAAAGCTGTCACTGCTGTTACATCTCCGCGTTTTTAATTGAATTACTTCCCATCCTAGCCCAGCAAGTTCCTTGGCTGACATTGGTTCACTCAAAACCAATAAAAAGGTGCCAGATATTGAAACTTTGGCATCGCAAAACCAGTGACCCCATGTCTCATCGACTCAGATCCTGATGATGAGTTGGTGTTTTTCAAATACACTATATCTATTGCTGTGTTGCGTTTGAGGCTAAAATGGAAAATCTAATTCAGGGAGAGATGAAAGAAAGCGTGAAAGTAAGCGAGAAAAGTGCGCCCTCGGAGCAGGGCCACTCTTGCCAAGGGCAAGGACAGTTCAAATCCATTAACTCCTAATGTATTATTAATGCTTTTTAGACCCCTTTAAAGAGGCATCACAATAAAGGGAGCTTTGAATAAGAAACGGGACTGGCTGTGATTTGGGAGGATATTCAGAGATTTTAGTTCAACTTCTGTGTTCCAAATGTTCCCATTGAAGTCCCAAGTTACTTAGTTAGTTTGACATAAAAACGCTTTCTTTCGTCCATACAAAAAGTTTTCTGCCAGCATTTTATCTACAGGGTGTTTAGTTTTACCAAAAATAAATAGGTAAGTAAAAAAACATCAAAACGAAGCAGCTTTTGTTTGCAGTATTGCTTCAACCAGGACATTGCTGATACATTTGGGATCTTTTGTAATTAGCTAGAACTGAGAGTACTCTGGTCCATAAAACTGCATCTGTTATCATGGATTTACTGGTGTGTGTGTGTGATTGGAATGGTTATAGACTGCTTTGGTGTTCCCCTGGACTGGGTTGACTACATTTGTTCTGCTTTTGTGTTACTGTGATACAGCCAGTCACAAATGGCAACCATTGGAAAAAGATGTAGTCTATATTCATTTGTTCAAGGAGAATTCTTTTGATGTTTTCTCATTCTGCTGAACAGGAAAATCATTCAATAGGTTTTCACATTGATACGGTGTTTTGTGAAATTTTTACATATTTTTTTATGTACTAAAAACGCATAGCAATAGGACCAAGCAAACTTTCAGGTTTCCTTTTTCTACTGGATTAATGTTCCAGCCTTACCTGAAAACTTTATCTTTATCTCCCAGCTTTGATGCTCCTCCTGGCCCATCCTGTCTTGCTCCCTTGCATCGTTACAGCTCTGCCAGTGCAGAGCATGCAAAGCAGTGGGCTGCTTATCTCACTGGAGGCCTCATTCTTATTTTGAGGCCTAATCTTCTGGCAGTTTGAATAAAAATGATGACGTAAAAATGTCCGTCAGCAACTGGTGCGAGTTTTCATTCTGGAAGGCTAGGGGTCAGAGGGTGGGTTAGAGAGACCTGATAATATGGACAAGTTCACTTTCCTTTGGCCTTATTGTGCATCTTTAGAAAGAGGTCAAACAATCTTGAATAAGACAAAAAAGAAGAAAATATTGCAGTTGCAGAAAGTGCTGGTGCTGCAGGTATTGCTCCGGTGCCCACTTGGAGGTCACGTCATTATGTTTTCATATGTTTTCTCAAATAAATTATGAATTACCTACGAGTCTGACAACATTTTCAAGTGACATTACAAATAAATTTTACATCAGAGTAGATTCTGTTCCTCGGCACTCCTGCCAGTGCTGTGCATCACCTGTGTCCCCGACACAGGAGCAGACACAGCCATGTCCAGCACAAGATTCAAGATAAGAATCTTTTCAAATTATGAATAATGGCACAAGTGCAGCACATTAAGAATGAACTGTGAATTCTCACAGTGAATTACTGTGCGAATCATTTGATTTTCTGCTCAGAACGAAAACCTCCCACAAAAACATGTGCTTGAATGCAGGGAGCAAAATTCCTGTCCATTCAATTCCTCTAATTTACCACTGGTGCTCATTAATAGATACAAATATTTTAAAACCAAAGAAAGGATTTTGCAGGTGTTAAGCTAAAGTAAATTTGGTCTGGATGGAATGTGTGGGAGACCAAAGATGTGAGGCTCTGTGTTGGAATTCACTCTTCTCTTCCCTCATCTTCACACTTTGATGTAGGGTAGGACTTCACCTCAGCGTTCGATGGATTGAAACCCTTCTCCATCCTTTCTCTGAGGCATTTTTTAGAGCTTATTTACAAGTGTAAGCAGTTATTTAAGGCTTGACTTTTCAGTTTCGCTGCAATTACTGTGGTCTAACTGACACGCTGTAAATCTTAGAATTCAAATGATTAGGGACCAACTTAAAGCCTGTTAAGTGACTTTTTTATAGGTTGTGACATATCACAGTTAAAAGTTTGGAATATTGCCCAGTTAAATTCAATTTAGCATGGTTTTAATAAAAAATATATTTCTCCCTTAAGGAATCTGTAAAAAGTCATTTGAGAAATCGCACCACCATCTTTTTTTTAAAGTGTCTGCAGCCAATGTTAAAAATGAACAGGCTTCAAGAAGATTTAATTCGCTTGTATTGTAATTTCATGAGGCTATTGTATGTGAGAGTGGTCCAGAATGACGGCTGCAGAAAATGCTGCTTTTCTCTCTGTCCTCCCCATTCTCTGATGCATATCATTGCAGAACAAGGGCTAGCACTTGTCCAGCTCTGTGGCAACTCTCCTGCTGGACACACTCTGAAGTTGTTTATAGTGTCGCAGCAAAAAGAGAAAATAACTCTTCCAATTAAAGGCTCTATCTTATTCTGAATTATTGATGTGCAGGTGCTTCCATCATCCAAAGAGAGTAAATTAAAAGTGTTTCTCCTCTCATGCTTGATTTAATGGGCAATTTGGAAAATCTGATTGCTTGTGCAGAAATTGCAAATACATGATAGAACTTTGGGCCCTAAGGGGCAGGCCTCTGCAGGCCTTTGTTAAGACGGATGATTCCTTGCTTCACTGGAGAGAGGGAGGCTTAGGGAAACTAGATGAAATAGATGGAAAGGAAGAGAGTCAAGCTCTGCTCCAGGGAAGAGGGGAGACGGAGCAACTCATGTTCATAGATTGAAGCAATTAAAACTATTCAGAAGCAGAGATCATGACAGGGGGCCTTTGGCTGTCTCACGCCATAACAGCATCTTTATTTTAGGCGGAGCCCTTTCAGTGGGAAGGACTGCAGGGTGTCTGTTTATTGAGGTGTTGTAAGGTAATGATTCATAGCTAAAGAGAGCTTCACCGGGGAGCAGGGAAAGGAATTATAAGGGTATCTGTGTGCAGCTCAGCCATGTTGAAAGTCAAACAGAAGGCTCTCTGTGGTGAGGGGAGCCTCAGTTCTCCATCCTCAGAGGCGCAGGGATTTTGTGGAGCCATCTCTGTCATCTTATCCATTAGTTGCTGCATGACAGAGAACTGCGGGCGTTTTCAGGCAATATCCATGGGTCAAAGTGATAGGAAGGGGCTTTGTCAGTTGCTTCTGTCGGTCCTGTTTAGTGCTCATCTCCACGTCTCACACCAACGCAGTTATAGTTCTGTTTGTGTAGCTTGAGGCAGCCCAGAGTACCCAGTAAAAAGGAAATACTTATTCTATTTGAATGTACCCACTCTTGTCCTTTCTCTCTCTTTTTTTTTGTGTCTAAACTGGATATTTTAGATGTCTACAGAGGAACTAGAACAATACGTGAACAACCAGTTTGAGGAACTCCGCAAACTGGTGCGTCTGGAAGAGAAGAGGACCCTGCACCTGGTGGACCTCAAGGAAGCGTTCCTCACAGCTTCGGCCGCTGAGAAAATAGCCGAGATCACGGTCGAGACGGAGAAGCTGCAGGAAGAAATGGACAGTATAACACATCAGCTGTGCCTGCTGGAGACGGCTGAGGCACAGGCAGTGGGTCCGGAGGAGGTAGCAGAAGTCCTCGCAGCGGTGCCCGCACCCGTCCACAGAGCCCTGGTAAGAAGATCCTTCCTCCTTTTTTGACATCTCATGGTTTTTAAACTATAGGTTCATTATTGCCAATCAGAATTATTTCAAGGTCCATTACTTAAAGCGTAGGGATTCCATTTTCGTCAGCATATTGAACTGCTAACAAGCAGTTTGTTTAATGAAAATAAAGCTTATACGTCTTGCCTACCTTGAAATGCACAATTTCCATTTAATGTTATAATCTTTTCTTTACATTAACTATAACTTGTCAAATATAGTTCTTTAAAAGGTCACATTATATTTTTTTCATCTCGGCTGCAGAATATACTTAATTTTGAATTAAAAAAAAACTAATGCTGCCTCATGCATCAAGCATTTGTTTAAAATGTTGTTCTTCAGAAAAATAATGTGTTAGTAGGAGGTAACAGATAAATAGTATTTATTTAATTTATAAAGGCACTCTATGGGCTAAAGTGACAATAGATTCCATGTGCATGATTAATTAAGTTAATATCCTTAAAAAGGAAAAGAATAGAATGCCGATAGAAGTGTCACATTCCTGTCATCATATGGCCAATAGTCAAACCTTATTGTCATTATCCACAAATCCACTGCTATAGTACACAGACAAATGCTTGAACAAATATGCCAACAGCTAGGATGGATTCTTACATGAACCACAAAGCCTAAGCTGCAAAATTGTATCACAAACCTTTCAATGCGTGTTCAGCAGTGTTTTATTTTGAATCTGTTATTTTACCTTCTTAAAAAAACAGTTTTGATCTGGAGGTTCGAATTGGTTTAAAACTGTTTTCCAAATAGCTCAGACAGCAGTTGTAGTTTGTTGGTTACCAAAAGTTAACAAAAGACATTGCTTTGGTCTAGATAAATTGCCATTGTAAGCTTTATAAAGGCACAGCAGAAAACAAAATGTCTGTGATTATGTTGAACTTTTTGCACAGATGTTTGCTGCCAGAGACATTCCTAAGAGCAGCCATGGAAAACAGATGGTATTGCTTTCACCTATAAAGGATTACAAGCACTGTTCCAGCTGGCACAAAGCTGTTTTTGTCTCTGGTCGTGAGTTGGCATCTTATTGCTAAAACACAGAGTAGCTCACTGTGGCACCTCAACCTGCCACCATTTCCCCATGATTTCATCTGGAAATGTTAATGGTGGTAAGGAATTGTTGCCTTCCTTAAAGAAACTGCATATTCATGCTGGCAGCTATGACATATTGATCCCTAAGCAGCTCTCTAAATATTATTATTTAGACTGTAATTTTTCTAATGACTATGAAACTTCCTAAAATCAACAGAGGTAAGATGAAGAACAGATGAAAACATGAGACTTTATTATTTATGTGTGGAAACAGAGCTCCTTTTTTAGACACCAATGCCAATCTAACCCAGTTAAAAGCCTTTGTCATATTTCTTTATGCTTTTAGCAATTTACCAAAATGTTATATAATAAAGCCATTTAGGCACAGACCTTCAACTTTAAATGACAGATATTCGTTTTCAGAGAAGTCAAAACATTTAATATATGGTTTCCAGTGCTTATAAAGTGGTTTTGCAGCTGACTTGAAAGATATGAATGTGAGCTGTTTCTTGATCATTAAAAATAAAGAAGATAGAATGTCTGGAGTTGATTCCATTGAGGCCTCTGAGTCTGTGAGCTTCAGTTGTGAAACCACCGGATGTGGTCAAGGGGGCACTCAATGCAGTGAAACAGGCTATTTTTAGGGGGCAAAAACACAAAAAATCCATCAGATAGATAGTGGAAACATTAGGAGAAGCCAAATCAATAGTTTGGTACTTTAGTTTTTTTTTTCATAAAAAGAATGCAGTGGAACGCTTTGCAACATAAAAAGGAGAGGTTGCATTGCAAAGAAAATTCAGGGGGAAAAAATCTTCAACTTAAGCTGAAAACCATTCAAAAGCTTTGAGGATAGAAAAGCCAGGTCACAAATTGCTAAAAACAAAGAACATTTTAAACAGGATAACTCATTAAAACCACCATTATGTCGAGCCAGAGTTGCTGTCCCTGACCTGTGTGTTATTTGGCCCACATGTCATCCATCACCAACTTCCATTGCCTTTAGACAAGTCATGAAAAATAAGCGACCTTACACCCCTAAGCCCCCGCAGAAACCTCCCTCAAACCCGTCAGCCTCAACATTTCACAGGTTCCATAAACGCTGAAACATTGTGTGACAGAACACTCACTAATTAAGAAGACAGAAGTTCACATCTCTTTGCCCTATCTCTGCCCCCGTCGTAGAAGAAGATGTGAACAGGTCAGCTGATGTGTAGAATAACGTGCAGGCTCGCTCCGACAGGAACAGAAGCCATATCCTCTGCCATCAAATTCTGCAGCGCTTCACTCCTGCGTGTCTCATTTGGAAATTACAGAGAGGGCTGTCACTGCTAATAGGCCCCAAAATAAAGTATCCCATTGGTCCACTTGCCACTTGCCATTTTTTAGCCACCACCGGCAAGAGAGGAGGCTTGAGTGTTCCCTGGAGATCTGATGCACGACTAGAAAGGCTTTAGCAATTTCAGGAGCTGATGCGCAGATTGCTTTCTTGCAGAGAGATGAATCCATGATGGGCCAATGTCATTAAGGCCCTAATTAAATGCCAATGGTTGCCCTGTTTGTTCTTATGCGTTTATCATTGCTGTATTAGGTAATAAAGGATGCTGTTTGGAAATCGACTGGCATTACAGAAGTGCTGTTTAGGAGTTAAAATGCTGCTTATGCAGCAATTAAATTTAATATGTCTCATTTTGTGTATTCAAATTCTGATGCTTGTAGGCATCAGTACGACTCTTTCTCTCTTTCATTTATTCATAAATCTATAGATTTAGGCAGTGCAACGGGCTATCAAAAGCCAGCAGCCAGATGTGGTGTAAAGCATAAACAAGGCCATCATATGATTTGATTTATAGTACAGAAACTGTAAATAGATCACTATAAAACAATTTAAGTATTGTAGATAAGAAAAGAGAGAAAAAGTTAGGCATTAAAGTATGTTGACCATGTTAGATTAGGTTTCTTTCATTTGCTTGCTTTAAAGCTCATCATAATCCTGTATTCTTTAGAGCTACAGCCTCCACTCCGTTTGGAATCAGAGCCTCAGTATAAAGTTTTTCCAACAAAAGACAGATTTCACACTTCTCTCAATTCCTGATTTTCAAAGCTCAAAGCTCAGCACCCATGTGATATCAAACGCGTAGGACCCAGCAACCCTTTACCATCTCTCTTTAACAGCTTTCCAGAGCATAAACCACAAAATTCAGGCAAGCATTCTTGCTTTAGGTCACACAAATGTATAAACTTGGAAAAATGACGTATTCACACAATAATGGAGGTCAGGAAGAACGAGAATCGTTTGCTTGAAGTTGACCAATCAGTAGGAGTCAGAGTTTCACTTAATTTTTATTAAAATCCTAATAAATCCAAATGTAGAAACATTCAGTGCATTAAGTTATTTAAGAAATGGGCGTTTTAATCCTTATAGTCAGCTAGTAGATTGATTGATTAGAAAACCACAACATACAGCCAACATACAATCAACTACTGGTTCAGCTACTCATTGAAATACAAGAAAGTTATGTATCTGGTTTCCACTGTTAATAATATAGCAAATCCAGACCTCTGATGTCCCTGCTTTGCTATTGATTTTAAGCATAATTCATGGACCCTCGTCCCCTGCTGCCTCCTAGAATCTCCCAGTTTTTCTACAGACTTTTCTGCACGTGATTGCTCCCTTAATCGAAAGCTATTGCTTCTCCAAGTAATTTCAATTTTGTGCACTAATTTTTCAAATTGATTTTTAAGTCTTTTGAAGGGTTGGAAAACATGATTGAATGAGTATCTTATTGTCTCGCGTCTGCTGAGATGTGAAGCTAATTAAATTTACGGCCAAAGTGTAGTCTTTGAAACACTCGGTGCTCCACAGCCTCAGATCCTCAGCTCTCATCCTGTTTGTCCACTGGTGCTTTTAATTACCCCTTATGCCACATCAATGTTTGCGTTAATTATCAAGGTTCACCGCTAGAAATGAGTCCACTGTAATATCAAGGACAGGAGGAAGGCGTTTAGCAGTGGATGCCCACCGCACCAACCTAAATTTGACGTTAAAGCCAGAACGTTAAGAATGTCTGCAGCTCACTTGGTGCTTTGCTCCAGATTGTTTCTCATGAATATACATGAGCACAACTGTTGGCTGAAAGTGAAAATAAATTGGTCAGATTTAGAGCCACACCAGCTGTGGACCCATGTGTATGTAAATGATGCTGCTAATGCCTGTGTAAGAATTACAATTTTTTTATTCCTCTCTCTCTTTCTCATTGTTTTCAGCACAACGTCGAAGCCAGGCCAAGGTAAGGCTATGACTCCCATTCAGTTCAACACAGTCTAGAAAAAACTGAAAGCCCTTCAGTGCCTCGTTACTCAAATACATCCACCATGAGATTGTTTGATATTCATCTTCTATAACATCCCCCAAATATAACATCACAATTCCCCTTATTTATGTTTTTTTTTGGGGTACTTATCCTGAAACATTTCCACAAGAAATGTTCCTAGCTCTCTTGGGTGACACGCTCGGTGCAGACACGTCTGGGCTGCCGTGCCTCGCCTCTGATCAGGTGCCAGTCACATCAGTGCAGCAGAGGTGACAATCTCCCTCATCCCGATGAAAGCTCCGCAAAATAGTTCCTGACAGGTTGAAGCTTCAGCCGAGTTTGCTTCTGCGTCGGTATGCATGCGGTGGCGGAGCGACGAGCTGGCGTGTCATTAGTGGGGTCATGTCTCTCTCCGGTACCTTACAGTGTTCGCATTTCCGCCATCACAGACCTGGTTCTGTGTGGCTTCTGGCCGCCAACCGGATGGGTGTGCCCATGTTATTTTTCATCTCCCCTATCTTTTGTTTGTATCATGCGATATATATTTCACCTCGGTGTCTGTCTGCTTCAGACAAATTGAACGGGATGGGCTTCTGCTAGTTTCACACTTATTGATCTGTCTACGAGAGAGGCTCTGCCTCCTTCACCCCAGAGTCCAGCTCTTAGCACCACCTTATAGCTTTGCCAACCCCATTAACTGTCTTAAAGGGTTTCATCTCAAAGTACAGCCCCTCCTCCCTCCCCGTATGTTCTTAGAGCAAAATAAACTTGTTATCCACTCGACTTTCTTCAAAGTGAAGGCTGAAACCCCAAAATAGTCCCACCATTTGGTCCGCGATTGATGGACAAGGTGCTTGTTTCTGTGAAATTGAATTTTTGATTTCACTATGGGATATTGATGCCGTGCTGCCTGCTTGTGGGAAATGTACTGCATTTCCTCTCCAAAGTTTAATGTGCCTTGCTTTTAATGAGCGAGGAAAGTCATAACTCGGTGTGGTGCACGGTGCCAGCAAGTAATATGTTATTGATTGTACAGCCTTTATTATGACCCCTAAGTTCTGGAGCAGATGGCAGCTTGGACCCAATGGTGAGATGCAGTTAGTTTGCCCTTTGACAAGGTTGAATTTTACATTCCTACAACATACCCCTGATATGATTACTCCTAAAGTAAGTTATATTGCCCAACATTGCAGTTGGTGCAGAATGTAGGTTGGCTGTTGTTAAAAAAAAAAAAAAAAAGTAGACATTCAAGATATTTCAGTTTTTCTTTTCTTTTCTTTTTTTTTTGGGCGTTAAAAAATCCCAAAAGGTCGGGAGAGGTTAATAGAAGAAAAGACTCAAACGAGGTGTACTCTGGTCAGCTTTATTAGGTTTGTCGAATGAAACAGATTAAAGTTTTCTGAAAGTTTGAAGGTGAAACGAAACAGAAGGGCTCAGTGAAAACTGGTGCTTTGATGAATAAAAACAAAAGGAGAAGAGATTTAGGAGGATCAAGCGACAAGTGGATGTTTAGGGTTATGTGCAGTGGGATCCAGACAGCAAATTGATTATGGAGCAGAAACACTAATCCGCTGTCTGAGCTTCATATCGCTGCTGTAGACAGAGCATCCCCACAGGACCTCTGTCCTGCAGCCACATGCATCTTTTTTGGACTTGCTCATCAATACAAATCCCTGCTTCCCCCTAAGCCTGTCAACATAGGTACTCCATGCCTGCCAAGATTAGTTGTTTTCTAAAAATACATCTTTCTTTTGCTCCGTTCCACCAGACAATACAACTTTTGCCCTTAGGAAATGCTTTGAAAATTTCACTATTTGGCCTTAATCTGCACATTTCCCTTGCAGGCATTTTTTTGTGTTGTTTGCACACATTACTGTGAAAAAGTAGAGGAAGTGTAATGATGGGTTTCTTTCCTTGAATAAGTCAAAATGTCAGCTAAGCCTGCCCACCTTCCACCTTTATTGACTCCTGAAGCATATTACCCCATAATTACACGGTGAAAGTTTTGTGTCTTATGTATGTATCCTCTGGATGTGTTTGTAGTAATAGGGCCAAAGGTTTAATGTATCCCACACTTAGATCGCATCCCACATTTTGCAGACCATCCTGTAAGTGAAGTTCATTTCAAGAGAAATGTTTTAATTTAACATCAAACTCTTGGGTTCCATTTTATCTTCTCTTTTGCATACTTGCATGCTTTTTTCTTGGAAGCAGTGACATTTGATTTTGCACTTTGCTGACTTAGTGATCACAGAAAGCCACGGTGTGTCTGAAAGTGGGTGTCTCCACATCATTGCTTAAAAGAGAAGAGTTTCTCAAAGTGTCTAAACACTCATAAATGCGCACGCAGCCGAGAGGAGGAGTGAAAAGGTTTTACAGTAACAGCAAAACTTTCATTCTTAGAAGCCACTTTCATCTTGTCTCTTGAGGTGGAGTGCTTAAAAGAGAAACTGATGAAATTATAAGAGGACAGTGACAGGAGAAGACACGCGCTACGAATTCCACTCTTTAGACATAAATTTATCTGTTCTCTTTGGACTTCTGAAGATTTCTTTAAAGCTAATATCTAGAAGGATTTCACTACCCTCTGACTTTTACAACTGCATGGTTATCGTGGTACATCTCTGGATGTCTTTAATAAGAGGAATTCATGGCGCCCCTTTTCAGATTATTTTGTATCATTCCTGTCACCATGGTTTCAATGATTGGGAATCCCATCAAATTGAACTTTGTTGACAACTACTTTTCCAATATTGAATTACACTTTATTTGTAGAAGTCTTTAAGTGTTTAGATTAATGAAATTATATTCACATATCAGTGCAATCCATCCTAAAAGTAAAGAAAAGCAGAACCAGATTGTGGGTCATCACATCAAAGACCTCAGTAAATACTATATATGAACAGTTCCTTAAAGATCTTGATGAGCAATATTACAAAACAAATTGCGACTTTGCTCTCGCATTTCCAAACAGAGGCTCTCAGCCTATTTTGGCTCTTCAGTGTGCTAACTGCTCCCTGATCTTTTCACACGTGTGTGAAAAATGTGCTTTCTTTATCCAATGTGTAAATTAACAGCAGCGTATCAGTAACACCAACAGCTTGAAGAATGGCACCTCGTTCTTCCTTATTGAAAGAAAGAGGAAGAACTATGATCAACCTTTTTAAGGCTTTTAGATCAGTATGATCTGCAGGAGCATCTACACACATCGGTAATCCACTGTACACGCGGCTCTTTATTTTTACACTGGAATGATCCAGTGCAATACGACATCATTTTAATAAAAGTTGACTACAGAACTAAATGAAGTGTAACATCAGATATTACACATACGAGATTACAAACTCATAAAGTATATTAACTCTGTCTCCTGATGAGTTTAATATAGGATCAATTTGTCCGCAGTGAAGGAAACTGGAGGAAAGTAATTCAGACACACACAGTTCAGAACAGAAGTGTATTTAAAATGAATTATTAAAGTCAGTCACTGTGATGTGATTGTCTGGTATTATCGGTAGAATTAATTTTAGTCATCTGTCTTCACAGGAAGTTTTTGTTCTCTGTCAGTTTTGCTAAAAAGTGTTTTCTGTTTAAGATATTTGAAAAAGAAACTATTGCAGATTATCTAACAAAAATATTCATCTGCTACAACTAAAGACGGCCTCATTGTTTCGTTAAAAATCCATAATATGCATACTTGTTCCTTACTCTGTATTCTCACTACACGCAATCTGCCGTCAAAGCCTGCTCACCGACAGAGGAGTGGGACGGGGGAAGAGCCCCGTCTCACTGAGTGACGGCTGAAGACCACCCACAGCCACGCCGTGCAGTCACATGAATGGGCAAAAGAAGAAAGGAGGCTGGCATGGAGGCAGAGCGGATTCTTTAGGATGCTACTTATCTGCCAGAGCTTCTTGCCCTCCCGAGGGTCAACTGGATGTGTTAAGTGAAGCAAAGAGGTGTCAGCTGCGAGTGGCCTGAGCACATATATTGAGGCTCGGAGAGTGAGGCGTGGAGGAGCGGTGCTGCATATACTTGAATGAAGTCCTAACGTTACCTCTCAACGGGGGCCAACACAGCCCCTCTCATTTTCTGACTTTATTTCGATGAATGTTCCTACAATAACATTTCTGCTCTCATGTAATAATTCAGAATTGTGCGCTGGGATGCATCGGTTGAGGCTTTTCTCCGTCTGTCTCTTGATCTGTAGGTTTGTCACTTCTTTTCTCCTCAGGCCATCACCATCCTGCAGGGGTGAATCTGAGGTCTGAGTGTAAAGCACACAAACCGATCCGACAAAGGGAGAGAAGCACATTTAGATGATGCATAAATTATGCCGCAAGCATGTTTAAGCTGTGATCCTTAAGATGTCAGTCGTTGCCGTTTGCGTGTGCCGGCAGACACGCGTGTGTGTTTCATAATCACGCTCATTAGAGGCTTACACAGCTGCAACTGGAGGAGGACGCGGAGGATCGTATGTGGAATTATGTAGAATTAAACGTATCTGTGTGCTCGAACATGCCTCTGTTTCCTGTTCACAAGGAGACAGTTACTCAGTTTTTAGTCTTGGTTTTAGGTTATATGTTTAATGTGCGAAAAATACTTATTTCTTTCTTATTCTTAGTTTAGTTTAGTTTAGTTTTGGTTTTGGTTAACCATTTATTGTACTTTTCATAAAGATCGACTTTGATTTCATCCAAACCATCTCCTGTTCATCCGCAAAGACATTTTTCATTGCCCTAATATATTCGATTCATTCCTCTTCATCCAAAAAATAGTACGGTCAATAGAGAGTCGGTATGGGGTGCCTGTTGAGTTTCATCTTGGGGATTTTGACCTTTGCCGCAGCTGTAGATGACTGTTTTGGATTGGTTGCACAGCTTTATAAGACCTCTGGGCTCTGCTTATAAGTGTACTCCTGCTGGTAATTTGCTGTGATGGATACAAATATTTAAGTACTTCATGAGTTTTGTGTCTTTCATAAGTGATCCCAGAGAGCAGATGGGTCTGTATTGTCTAAGAAACATTCAAGACTGTGGTATGCCGGCATCGGTTGATTGCTGTGTTTTTGTTTGTGCTCTGAGCCTATGAATGCATATGAATAATGGATTGTTAATCCATATAGGTATATCACATCTCTCTCCCATCTACATTGTCTTGCCCGTCCACTGATGTAAAGAGAGACGGAGGAGAACACAAATGTTGCACCAGTTTCAGTTCAGAGACGTCTGTGAGTGTTGAATTTGTTTTTTGGGATTTCAGTTTTGACATTTAAAAGAAATTGAGATTCAAAAATTTGCCAGGGAGCAC